CGCGAGAGGAATCTCCACATCAGATGTTATGTCATAATTTTTCCTCAGTTTTGAGATATTAACGCGGACGATGCGTGTTCCAAGATCCACACCTACCATGGATCCTCCGAGTTCGGAGATCACCTTTCCTTTCAGCCAAGATCCATGTTTGGACCCAGTGGATCCAATCTTAGACTTATCTTCTGACCAGTAGAAAACCTTATCTCCCAAAGAGAAAGGTCCTTGGGTCATTGACAGTCTGGCTGCAAGATCTCTACGCAGATCATCAGATTGGCGTGCCTCTTGGTAAGCCCTGTTGGCAAGCTCCTTAATGGCTCTCGCAGTGACTTCCGTATCAGTTGGATTACCTGTCAACTGATTGGGATCAGCGTTCTCTGGTGTTATAACATCTCGAGGACGCCTTCCAAAGGCCATTTCTAAAGGAGTAACTCCTCCGTAGGTAATCGAAGAGTTTCTTGCCAAACATGCTTGGCGAACGAGGTTGCCATACTTCATGGTGATTCCGTTATACTGCGGGTCACCATCCTTCAGGATCTGAAGTATGAGCTTAATCTGATGCTTCAGCAATCTTACAGCAGCTTCGGCCCTGTTGGGCCATGGTGTTCCAGGTCCTGTTGCCACAGGCTTGATATTCTGCCGATTGTAATAAGCCTCCATTTTTGGAGTCATGAATGCTTGATCTCCAACTACAACCTTTGGGTTGATCTGAAATTTCTCAAAGTAGTCATTCATAATCGACATTGTAGTATGTTCTTCTTTATCCTGGACTACTTCGGCAGTCAACAAGTTTGTTGCTCCATCATAGAGAATAAGAAATACTAAGCGACTATCCTTGCCGGGAATTGGAAGCTCACCGTGATCTACGAAGGTGAGATCACCGAAAGTCTCTGATCTTAAACCAGAAATCTTCGCTCTTGAAGGAGCTCTCACATGTTCCTGGCAGGCTGAACACTTTTTGACCAGTTGGTCATATAGCTCGTATATCTCCTTTGGGATCTGTAAGGCTTTTGTGCGTCGCTTGAACTGATCCGTACTCATATGACGGTGCTTAAGGTGAAGCTTATAGAGTTCTACAGGGTCCTTAAGCTTCTCATGAATCCTGCGAAGAGCAATGGGAAGAGATGGCGATGGTTCCGCGACAATCTCTTCACCTGTAGGTGAGTCTGTACCAGGAGCCGGGTATTCTCTTGACTCAAGTGGTCTTACCTCCGTCCCTTCATCAGCTCCTGGGACCTTAGACTTCTCTTCAACAGGAGGTTTAACCGCATATTTGCGGGATTTCTTCAGAAGGTTTTTAAGACCCTTTGGAGTCTTTATCTTCGCAGGTGGGACCTCAAGTCTTTCTTCTTCTGGAGGTTCATGTGGTGCAGAGGATTCTGCAGGTTTGTCCCTAGAGCCTGATGATGGTTCCGATGGTCCGGAAGGCTCAGGAGCATCACCAGATGGTTCTGGTGGATCAAGTTTCTTGGCAGATGATTCTGCCGGATCAGATGGAAGAGGCTTCTTTTTACCTGAAATCCTCTTCGGTGGTGGATCAGCTGCTCCCTCAGGTGCTTTGTCGCAACCCTTGAGGTACGTGTGAGCCCTTTTCTGTCCGGCACAGGCTGGACAGCGACCTTCCGGTATCCTAGTATAAGGCTTATTGGCTCCTAGAGCAGTCTCCGTCGCACTGAACGACGTACCTGACTTAGGGAGATACTTCCTGGTGGAAGTGAAGCCTAGAAGGTCCAATACCAAATGGTTATTGGTACTAATCGGAAGAGGGGGTTTTATACAAACCGAAAGCTTCACACGTTGCTAGGTCAGCTGTGGGACTACACTCGAGGGTCATTCTTAAATTCCTCATCTGTTCGATGGAAAACAAAATGGGGACTCTCCCCTGATCCAAAACTTCTATGGTTGTATCTCTTCTTGGAGTTGTGTTGAACCATAGAGTTACACGCTCCTTGATAAGAGCTGTTTCACTATCTGCGAAAGAAACTTCGTGTTCGAAGGTGAAAAAGTGAAATCAATCATGCCTGGGGCACGTTGCTTCACGGCCTTGATAAGCCTGTTCACCGCATAGCGGGAACCCATAGCCCTAGTACAACCAGAGTCAAGTATGACAAAGGTAGGGCTCTTATCAAGATTGATCCGCTCTGTGAGAGCAGATAGGACGGTGTGCTGCAACGGAAACACTGCTGTTGCAGTCTCCACACCTTGCCCCTCGGATGGTTCAGAGACCTGGGGCACGTAACTCACTGATGAGTTGTACACGGGTTCTTGGTGCGCGCTCGGATCTGTGCCTCTACCTGATGATCCTGCTTGATTTCTTCTCTTCTTTCTCCGTGTCTTTCTTCGTGAGGCTTGTGATGCATAGTATGTATAAGACGTTTGATCGTCATAAGCGGCATAATTCCAACTGGAGTCAGTATAATAACTGTCCTCATACCATGAATCCCAGCTCGGTGCGGTGGAACTTTCATAGGCCTGTGGAGATCCAGTTTGGTCTCCTTGTAAGGAGGCAGACTTAGCTGTATCCTTACCTTTGCCTTTTGCACCCTGAAGGAGCTTCCTTTATCTCCTTTGTCCTTTCCTTTTCCTTTGCCTTTTTTTTTTTTCCTTTCCTTTACCTTTACCGAAATAGCTGGAATCAGTTGGATCATGTTCTGCCTGGTTGGCTCTCCCTTTTCCGCGGTATGACCTAAAACGGCCACGTCCTTTTCGCTTGCCACCCTTTGCTCTTCCCGGTGATCCGGGACGCATTCTTGGTCTTCTTCCCTTTTTGAATCTCCTTGCAACGAAGGCTTCATGGTCGTCAACTGTCCAGAAGACAGCTTCTTCATCCTCGGCGGCAAGAAAGCCTTCCTCAAGGGTGTCTTCGTCTTGGAGCCAGAATCCATCGACTCCGTCGTATTCACCCTGATCGAGGATGAGGAAGTTTCGACCTCCGCGTTTGCGGCGTTGGTCTCTCCTTCCATGGCGGTCCTTCTTGTGAGAAGAGTGCCGAATGTTGGGATCCTGCAGACCAGTTCTGGTCGTTGAGAACTGATCGAACATGGTCTGCCGTACCACAGGGTACGTGTAGGTCTCAATTCGGTGACCTTGGTTGGTCAATGCTGTTACCAACCTCTCACGTTGCATCTCATTTAGGTCGGACTGCACTAGGAAGAGGAGAGCTAGGAGATTATCATTTAGAGGAAACGCTCTTCGATGATTATCAAGGCGTTCCTTGTTCCATGTTTCGAAGAAACGTGCGGCGTATGTGTCTCTCTCGGTTGCATCCTGTAGGCGCAAGAAGGTTTGATCTGCCTGCACAGCCTGCATGAAATCTGGATGGGCATCTTCCAGAGCTATCTCTGGTAAGAGATCCATCCATGAGTTTTTCACGCGCTGTAGCACGATCTCAAACTTAGCAATCCAAGTCACAAAGTCTTGGTTGCCCTTCCATGCCTTGAATAGGCCGAGGAAACGCCACAGGAAAACGTACTGTTCTCCTTTCACGAAAAATGGACGCATCTTCTTCTTGAAGTAATCTACTCCATCTGGGGCTGCAAGCCTTTCTCGGTTAAGTGATTCTTTTTGTACTGCGGCCAATCCGGAGAGCCTCGTCTTGAGAGACGGACCTCTTTTGGTGTCATCCAGCGTTGTTATGTCGCACCAGTCGTCAATCAACTGTTCATACTCAAACCACGAGGTGGTGCCATCATAGGCAGGCGCGATCTTGGGCGTTATGCCTAATGATGCAAGCATGCGGTCAGATGTTGCATATGACTGTGCGACATAAGTGGCTGGACCTTGGGAGGTCTCTTCGTTCTCATATCCCCCGGAGGATTGGGAACTGCCGTCGGCTTCGCTATGCGAGCTCGACATTGTGCTGCCTCTTATCCGCTTGGTCAAGCGTTCGGCGAGGCCGACCGCTGTAGCGGACTTTGTGAGGCGGGCGGCCCTTTCCGGGCTCCGCTACCAGAAAACTGTGCCGATACACCCACAAGGAATACTCCTTGTTAGGAGGTGTATGACCAGTTATTCCCTAAGGATCAAAGGGCAGCGCCCTGCACACGGACAGTAGTTGTTTTGTCTTGCTACGCAAGGAGAGCTTGTCTTGTCTCAATATGGTAAAACCACTGTGAGCCAATGGGCAGCGGAATGTATATGTATGAGCATGCAGCCATTGCTGTAGGTACCTGTTAGAGCTACCCCTTTAGAGGTTTATGGTTTCACCCCCTCCCCCCCTCCCCCCCTCCCCCCACTCCCCCCTCCCCCCCCCTCCTTTCCCTGTGCCCGTTTTCCTGGCACTTCGTATCAACAACTGTGTAAAGCTTGGGGTTTGACAGGCCGCCCCAGCATAAAAGAACATCGACTGCCCCCTCGCCCTGCCGCTACACAGCCGAGGCGGGCGGCGTAGCGTTAAAATTAGGATAGGGATATCCCATATAAATCCCCTTAGAATGAAGCCCAATAAGGTAGGGATATCCATAAAAATGCTTATACTTATGTGCTTTTTGGGTCCCTAAGTGCCGTCGTGTGAATACGAGCTGTGCGCACTGAGTGGCGATTGCATCTTCGAGATCTTCGAAACAGAAGCTCACCGCACACCCCAGAATCGGCCTCCAGAACGGCAGCTAATGCCTGGCAGGCAACTTGCGATTATGCAAATCTACCGGCTTGGTTTCGGACAGTGCGGAGACTGTATTTTCATCGGCTTGGGGCTAGCGGTACGCGCATAAACCAAGAACTTACAGCTGAGGGGCATGCAGCTACAAAGCCATATCACCACAAACCTGGCTCACGATCATTGCCCAGTCTTGCTGCCGAACCGTAAAGATATTTTGGATCAAAGGGCTGCAGAGGGAGGGAGACCTGCTACTGTAGGTCTCGAGACGATTTGGGGACGCAGTTTGCAGCAAGTCAACAAAAACTGCACGTGTGCTGCAACGAAGGCAAAGCAGGCCGGCAGGCCCTTAGCCGCTTAGCCGCCAAACATGAGCCAGCCGACAGTGCTTGGAAAGACGCCTACTTCACGAACGCAAGTCCGGCTCCCCTGTCCCCCTGTCCTGCAAGCAGCGGAGCACAGCGGGCGGATTGCTTGGCTCCGGCAGCAGGTCTGGTGGGGTGAAGAGGGAAACCTCGGGGCAGGATGCCACACCAGCCGTTAGACTTCGAAGATCTTCCAAGTGCGCCTCGCCTGCTTTACCCCCAAGGCTGCGCAGGCCTCGGCGGCCACGCCAACCCCACTCTGCAGGGCCCTCCGTGCTCGTGTCCCACCGGGCGCCTTCAGGAATTGGGCGAGACGTCCGAGGGCCACGGCATTGGCCTCTGCACTCTTCGACTGCCAAAAAGCATTGCATGCTTCAAGATCTGGCGAGGAACCTTCGGCAACACGTCGGGTCGCACCTAGCACCAAAACCAGCGAGCGAGAGGAACTAGAGAGCGACAGCGAGGCAATCAAGATGGCGAGAGGGAGCAGGAGTCGCAGACTGAGGCGTGCAGAGACGATTGCGATTCGTGCCGAAACCTGCAACCTTCCAATGAGGCTGTGGCAGAGATCACAAGAGCACAAAGCAGCCGTCCATCGCTCAGGTCTTGCACGCAAAGTTTCTCTGCGTCCAGGCCACCTACAAACCACAGCCAAATAGAATCTGCTCGAAAGCTCAACGTGTGAATAGTGCCCAGATGTGCCCAGCCTAGAGGCAGCAGGCCGCGAACTTGCCGTGCGTGTGCGGGTGGCAAGGGCACCTCAGCCGTGCCACGCACTCGGCTTTGTGTGGAGCTCTGCAAAGGTCCGGGGCATGCAGGGACCGGGACCCCGCCTTGAGCCTTGCATCGATGACGGAGCAAAGCCACCGGAGCACCGGCCTGGCCGACAGCCACAGCGCGACAGCTGCTCAGCGCGCTGCTCCACAGCGGCGCTCTTCGCTGCTTCGCTGCCTCCAGGGGTCTTCCGCTCGCGAGGTCCGTCGGAGGCCTCGCACCCCCAAGGCGGTAAAGCGGCCACCACCCCTCGCTTCTCTGCGCCTAGCTCTGGAGAGGCATGGGCATCGATGTCGTCCTCAGTCTCCTCCTCACCGATATGGGCCTATGACCTATGGTGCTTCGTCGGATTCTACTGTCAACATCTGTAAACCTGCCTTTCCTCGGACTCTTCGGACTCTTCCGGGGAGCTTGGTGGTAGCCGACTAGGCTGCGCCGCCGCCACCACCGAAACTTCTGTGCTGGAGTTTGGCGCGAAATCTTGGTGCAGCCGCTGCCAAGCAGGCGCCGACAAACTGCGGAAGTCGCAAGCGGCGAAGTCTGGGGCACACCCCACAGCACTTTTTGCTACGGGGAGCTTGGTTGGAGCAAGGGTGATTGGCGCAAAATCTTGGTACAGCCGCTGCCAAGCAGGAGCCGACAAACTGCGGAAGTCGCAGGCGGCGAAGTCTGGGGCAGACCCCACAACACTTTTTGCTACGGGGAGCTTGGTTGGAGCAAGGGTGATTGGCGCAAAATCTTGGTACAGCCGCTGCCAAGCAGGCGCCGACAAACTGCGGAAGTCGCAGGCGGCGAAGTCCGGGGCAGACCCCACAGCACTTTTTGCTACGGGGAGCTTGGTTGGCGCAAGGGTGATTGGCGCGAAATCTTGGTACAGCCGCTGCCAAGCAGGTGCCGACAAACTGCGGAAGTCGCAAGCGGCGAAGTCTGGGGCAGACCCCACAGCACTTTTTGCTACGGGGTGCTTGGTCGGCGCAAGGGTGATTGGCGCGAAATCTTGGTACAACCGCTGCCACGCATGAGCAGGCAAAATTCGGAAGTCGACACTGCTGCCCGAATGTGTGCCCGGCGCCGAGCTTGTCGCGGCTGGTGCTGCGTTGGGAGTTTGGCCTGCCGAAACTGATGTTGCCACGGCTCCCGCCGCCGCCGCCGCAACCAGTTTCTCTAGCCCTGACAAATGTTCAAGCACTGCCAGCACATCCGGCACACCATTTCAAGGGTTTGCTCTGACTCTAATGCCTCTGAGCGCCGATTCTCGCCCGCGTTCGCGAGCGAGCTCCAAAGCCGACTGGCCGGACCTCGGCCCAAAACTACAAAGGCAAGCGAGTCTGTGAGTCTGTGTGTGCATTTTTCAGTTTCGGCAAGGGGCTTGTTCTTTGCTGCCAAGACGTCAATGCCCGCTGCGGCCAAGGCATGTATCTGCAACGTTGCATGCTGCCAGCGTACATCCCCAAACAATCATACGGCACAACGATGGCCAACCACCGCGACCCAAACAACCACAACCACCAGGACACTACCAGGACCACCGCGATGACCACTACACCAGAGGCCGCGAGGAGACCACCACGACCGCCGGGCGGCCACGAGGAGATCCACAGCACGTGACATGTGTGTTTTCGGATCTGAGAAAATCCGCACGTGTTGTAGCTGTTTCGTTCGTAACGCAGGTATGGGTGTTCGTTTGTGTGTGTGTGTGTGTGTGCAACTCCTGTATCCAAGGATTTTGAGTCTCTAGAGTATCTGCACTGCTGATTTGCATTGGAAGAAAAGCAAGAGTTGCAGACTTTGCATCATTGCTTCGTATATGCAGAGAAGCAGGGGGCTGGCAGCCTATTCCGTGATGCCAGCCAACGAAGCTAGCGGAATGGGTGGCGGGAGCTATGGACGCATAGCTCTGTACCTGCAGTCTCACTCGCTGATCGATTTGCATCTTTAGTCTTATGAGCCTTGAGTCCAAAACATTCAATTGTATCGCTCATCTAATGTATGCATGTCCTTGAGATGAATCTGGAACCCAAGAAGATTTCTGAGGCTTTGGTATTCGAACTTAAGATGATCTAGATGTAAAGAATTTTTGGAGATGGAGACAAGAGATATCCACAAGAAGAAAAGAGCGGCACCTCAAAGCATACCCAGGACATCCGAATTATACCCAAATGAAGTGATTCAAATCTGGTTTGCAGCCAGACTACTTGGCAAAGACCCAATGCTCTTTAAAGGCTAACGCAATCCCAGGCATACCCCCACCCAAGCATCTCTGATATGTCTGTTCGCAGGTGTATCAGACTATTGTGTCATAGCATACCCAAGAAGTCCCAGGTATACCCAAGGTCATTCATTGCGAATGATCACCCCAAGCAGATCCATCGTCTTGACAGTCTTCTGCTAAGCAGTCCCAAAGCTGATCCAACGCTATATGCGATCCGAAGCATACCCAAGCTGATGATGACATCCGAATTATACCCAAGCTGAAGATGATGATTCGTCCGTTCGCCACCCAACAAGCACCCAGCGTACGTTGGCCTTCTTAGGGTGTACGTTTGTAGACAAATAGAAGTCATATTAGTAGTTCTAATTTTCATCATCATCTGAATCTTCTTAGATATCGTGGTTAGATTTCGATCGCCACCCAAAGCTGATCCAGCATTCGTGCGTCTTCTCGTCTCGTTTCATCTTATACTCGTTTCAACAGAGCAACGCACACTTTTCAAAGCACACTTGAGCCTACGGTCACGCAAGTCGTCACTAGTCTTGGAAAACAGTAAAAGTAAAAGGGGTTTCTGCAAAGTTTGTTACCCCCCTTGGAACTCACACGATCCTCTCGAGTGGGTTCCACTGCAAACGGCGCTTCTATGAGCTATTAGCTCATCTCTCCAGAGAGAACTGAAGTTCACCGAAGCAAAACTAAAGAGTACTCTGTACACACCACAGCTTCACACTACTGATGTCGGGCCTCTTCTTGCGGAGGAAAGGAGCTTTTGTTCTCGTTCCCGATCATCACATACAGAGTAAAACAATGACGTATGTGAGCTTTGGCATCTTGGGGCCCTTTCTTGTTCTAGTCTAGAGCTCACATCTTTACCAAAAAGCGTGGTGACCAAAACGGCTCTTTACAGACACTTGACTGCTGCTAGAGAAAACAGGCTTACGTCAACAAAGCAACCTCAGCACTTACAGGCCAAGAAGGTAAAAGGAAAACTTCACGCTCAAACTTCTCAGGTGTCACGCTCACGGCTTAAACTGCTTGCAAGCTTTGAGCTGCTTGTTCACTGCAACTCGGCGGTCGATCGTCGTGACATTGGATGGAAGGTGGCTCATCCAACGCACTACGTTTCCACACGTAGCCTTATGATAGCTCTTGCCGCGCTTCGGCTCGCCGATGATGTAGACCTTGTCCACACCAGGATCAGCACGAGGATCATGAGGAACGTCCTGCGCCTCATTCTCGACTTCGTTGTGCTCCTCCTGGTCCTCGCCGTCGTAGTAGTAGCTCTGGGTGTAGTCCTCGTTGGCTTGGCCTTCGTCGTCACTGCTGTGTGCACCCTCAAACGGACAAAGAAGCCAACTCTCGTCACCACCGCCACGGGCTACTGAACTTGAGGGCTGATTCGTCCTCCAACTGGTGTCCTCGCATGTGCCGCCAGGCTCGCCGTTGTTAGCGAAGGAGGTCTGGTCGATGCCACTCTCTGTGATTCCCAACTCCCTGGAGAACCACTGGTGTACTCTGTCTCGCACTTGGTTCATGTTGTCGCGGGGAGCTGTGGGCTCGCGATTCCAGCGCCGCTTGGGCGCCATGTACATCACCAGTCCGATCATGCACAACATGGTCACAAAGAACATTGCGAAGTGAAGCTCCTGCGCACTCATGCCGAACAGGAACTCGGAACTCAACCCTCGAAGTCATACTCGAATCATGGCCGCTCATCTGCGCAAAAACTGGCCGGTCACAACTCCCCCCCTCGAGCAAAAGCGCTAGAGCTCTAAGGATTTGACCGGCTCCCATGCTGGTCGCGATTGGCCTGGCACTAACTTGATTCACGATCGCACTGTGGTTAATGCCGAGGCCCATGAGATTCATGAGATGATTCATCCTGGTACGAGGGTGCGGCTTCGTCTGCAAGTCAGCTGGGCAATCTTTGGTTGCAAAGGCCTTTGTTTCATAGACTCCTTCGTTGAGCGCTTTCTGCGCCCACAAGAACCCTAAGCTGATGTGTCGAGTCCTCCCTAATCCTTGGCGTTGGAGGATACTTCGGGAAGCCGCGTTGTCGACCATGTGCACCAACTTTACCGTAGCTTGGGGACCAACCAAAAACTGCAACATGTGCTTAAGGAATATTCCCTCCGAGAGTCCGAGCAAAGTGGCCATCAGCTCGGACTCGGCAGAACTGAGGCTGATCGTCTTCTGCACTTTGTTACCTGCGTGGCACAGGTTGCCGTTGATGAATATGCAGAACGAAGAGATCGATCTCCGATCTGAGAAGGCTTGGCTTCCCCAATCTGCGTCAGTCACTACCTCCAACACATGGTGTGTTCCAAACGGCATGTTGGGGTCTTCGGGCTCATCAGGATCTACACCGTCCCACTTCTGCTTCAAGGTCTTCCCTGGCTTGGTCTTCTCCAACCTAATCGGGACCACGGGGTGTAACTTGAGGTACTTCACGACATGACGTAAAAGACCAAAGTCCTCAACGGTGGGGGAGCTATTCCTCGAAGACAACACCTTCACCATGTACTGCAAGTCCGGTCTCTCGGCACTCATGTACATGAGGATACCCACGCATCGCTTATAGAGGTGGAGGTGCTCGGAGTCCAGGCTCGCTCCTTGCCCTGGCGCGGGAATCTTGGGTGGACTCGGATTTTGCTTGCCGTGAGCTTTTCCAAACCAAGGATTGACTGAAGCCTTTCTGCATACTTCGTATCCTGGGTCACCTCAATGGCATCACCGAGCCCTTGGAACTTCTTTTTCAAGAAATGGGAACAGCCACCAGCCAAGTCAACAGGACCATCCACTTTCAATCTCAAGCCTCCAGCTTTGAGGTCATTGGCCAATTGCATGGGTGCACCCCTGGGTCCTAGAATTTGCATATCATCGACATGACTGTTCAGCGCCAAATTTTGCTCAATGCAGAACAGAGAGGGGTTGCTAATGAAACTGTTGAAGCCTTTGTTCTTTAGGATCCCGAGGAGGTGGGTGAACCAATCTTTTGCCCCTGCTCTTTGACCAGGTAGATTGTAAAGGAGTTCTAGGTCGCCGATGTGGGTCTGGATGTACGTGGGCCGCCTCTGTCTCACTTGCAAGTAAGCGTCAGTGATGTCGACGCTCAGCAGCTCCAGTGAGCTGTTCCCTGCAGCCAAACACGCAAGTAGTTTGTGGCTACAGGACACCGAAGCAGGGCTATACAGGTCCGTCAGCGAGGGCTCAAGAAACCGGTAGTCTTTTGCAAAAAGCCGTGCGCGACGCAACCAACCATTCCTAATTATACCGCCAGTCCAGCACATACTTGCATTGAAGACGTACTTTCCCTTCTCTATCTTGCTCTCCACTCATCCGTCTCAGCACTGTCATGCCAAGGAGGCGGTCGAGCTCTTTGAGCTCCATCTGCTTGTCGAGGTCAGCCAAAGCCTGGGCTTCTAGCTCTGGGGGTCCCTCTACATACTCACGGCCTTCCCAAGGCATCCCTGCATCGCCTCTCTCACCGTCAGAAGTTTCAGGGACACCTTCTTCTTCACTTGCAAAGCCCTCGTCGCACTGTGGGTTCAAACTCTCTTCAGGGTCGCACACAACGATGTCGTCTTCATGTCCATGCGGCTGCTCTGCATCAACCACACGAACTGGAAACCACTCAACCCTTCCAACCTCCATGTCGGCTGGGATGAGCTCGCGCGAGCTGTTGCTGGCAGCTCCACTCAACCCATCTAAGATGCTCTCTCCAGGGCTACCTGCAGGTGCTTCTGAACTCGCCGAGGTTGGAGGATCCGTGGCTGCTTCGTCGCCGGGAGGCGCAGCAGGAGGTGCTGCATCCACAAGCACCGGAACCCGTACTCGAGGGCCCCGGGGAACACGCATAGTGACTACATCTTGTACAGGATTCCAAGGAACACCGCGCATTGCCAACAAAGCATCTGCTTGATATACTTCAGCTGCTCTTCGAACTGTGCGTGCATACCCTATGCCCTTGCTGGAAGAGACGATGCTCAAAGAACCCATTGAAGAACGCCCGAGGTACACACACTTCTCCCATGGAATCCCTTTCGTCTTTGGTTTGGGCAACAGTTGGCAAGAGACGACTGACCCGAACGCGGCAATCTTTGCATCAAACTTTCGCCCGTGAACCAATTCGAACGATGTGACCCCATCTGCGTGGACATGGTAACGCGTCAGCAAGAAGGCTGCGTGTCTGAAGCTCCACTGGTACAGCGGGTGGCTCGATTTCAGCTCGACTTTCGACTTTGCAGACACGGTGTGCAAGAGGCAAAGACCAAGGCGGCGAACTTTATCTATGTAACGCTCTGCTCTCAATCCCTGATGTTCACTGGAGCCGGGGTTTGCCATCTCAATCTCAGTCTTTAACCCCAACCGTGTCCTAGCCATCTGCACCATCTGCAAAAGCTTCTTCATTGAAGGCTCGCTGTCCCCTCTAAACGTGACCTGGTCAAAGCCGAGGATCGAAGCCATCTTGACCAGCTCCTCCACGGCAGGTCTGTTGTCCTCAGCTGCTTTCGAACGAACCGGCACACACACACCACGTACTTTGTAGTGTGGCACACTGCCACCAACTGGGTCGTCAAGGGGTGCTCATCATTCTCAGCTCCTCCTGTTCTATTGAACATCCAGTCTACCGAAATAACCGGAACTTCTCTCTTCGGCTGGACCTCTGGATGTGGATCCTCTCTCGAAAGGGCAGCTTGGCAGCTCTCGCACCAATCAGCCTGAGGGAGGTGAGTCAGCTCGTGAAGCATGACGGTTTGAGCGTCGGGGCGTTGACAGCGTTGAGGAAGAGGGCCGTGATTAACGTCAGGGGTGTACTCTGCTATGATGGCATCACTTGCTTGCACGGCTGACTTAAGCTTGTTAAGCGCAATCTCTTTCTGCAAACGCGCCCACAACAAACTCTTAGCGCCACTCTGCGGAATCTTCAGGTAGCGGCACGCCCAACGAAGATCACGAAGGCTAGAGGTTTCACGAAACTCCTTGTCACCAACCTTCACTACCTCGCCTTCCAAAGGAACTTCCTGCATCTCCGGTCCGGCCACGGGCGCGCCTGGCTGTTGAACTCCATCATCTGCTTCTTCAGGTTCGGCAGCTCCTTCTTGAGACGCAGCCGGCAACCTGGGAACCAGAGGTGATTGAGGGTCCACGACAACTTTTCCCAGGTCAGTGGCAGCCAAGGCGTTCCGAGTCAATAAGGTCACGATCCTAGTCGGCTGGCACCCTATATCCACCACAGGCTTCAACTCCCAATTCTCACCGCACTCAAAAATCTCAAACTTGTTCTCCCCTTTGTGCACCAAAGTCGTACGAAGAGGCAGGATCTCGGGATCATAAAGCTGGCTGGGGTCTGCAGTCACTGTCGAGTTCCACTGCACGTGTGTGGGCATAGATCCCGAAGTCACTTGCCAGCCTTGCCGTTTCAGTCCCGCTAGGAACTCATCGCTCACCTCAATCACCATGCGAACACAGGCTTCTTCGGTCCTCAGGATGCGCATGGTGGCCGCAACAGAGTTTCGGGCAAAGTGGAGGGGAAACTCTTGCTCGCCCTTGCACATCACCATGATGCCGTCATCTGTAGCACTAGCTTTCGGATACCAGCCACCACGAAACAGCTTACCGGCGCATAACAACGGCTGCCTCACATTTGCTAGCACAGCTCGATCTCGAAACACAATCTCCCGACCATCAAGCCCTTGCACCACGAAAGAAACATTGGCTCTCTGCGACATCTGCGGGATCGGCGTGCCTTGGGCATCCAAGAGCCGGGTGGTCTGCTTCTCGGCAACACCGACGGTACTGAAGAGATGCGCCGGGAGCACCGTGACATCAGCACCTGAATCCAAGATGACTTCACAGGGCTCGGAAGGGTCTGTAGGGCAGCTCACCGCACGAACTTCACAGTCGCATTCAGAACTGCACTCTTGGAAAAACTCATCTCCACTGCTGTCACGATCAAGTTCGAAGCAAAGCGTGCTGGTGGAAGGGAGCTCGCACTCTAGCTCAAAGCACTCAATGCTTGCACAGTCTACCGCTTCAAACTCAGCGCTAGAGTCACTGTACCAACCATCACACGCACTGACTGCCCTGATGTACTCATAGGCTTCAGCAGGAATTTCGGACTCATCCCACCAGCCATACTCATCCCAAGCTTCTTCACCCTCGTAAAAGTCAAACTCCGAAACCAAAGCAGTGCTATGCCAAGCCCCAGTGTTGTCACCATCATCGTCCGGAAGCTCCTCGATCAGCGGCAGCGTGTCCAACTCCATGCGGCAAACCTTGGCTGGGAGGAGGTTGTTGTTGAGGGTGCTGTTGTTGAGGATGCCGTTCGGGTAGTACTTGAGGAAGCCCTAGTGCTCACAGAGGCATTATCATCTTCGACTTGGTTCACGCGGCGATCTCTGCACTCAGCTGCTCGGTGACCCGTGCGACCACACACAAAGCAAGGACCCTTTACAGCACCACCTTTCTTGCCCTGCTTGCCGGCGCGATCGGTTCGCCAACCGGGCACGAACTTCGCTACTCGCGTCCCAGTGGCGCCGCACTGCGGCCGCCAACTCCGAGAACTGCTTAAACTGGGAACGGGCCCAGTCCGTAATGGGCTCAAACTGGAGGGCCTTGCGAAGAACATCCTTTTCCAGCGGCAACGCAAGGCTCCAGGACCGTTCCAAGTCCCTGGGGGTGTAGCCACTCGGCGACCATGAGCCATTCGCTCCAGTTCTCCATAGACACGCCGATATGCCGGATAAGGTCACCCAGGACCTTTTGAACCTCCTGGTGAACCCTCTCATTAGAACCCATTTCGCATGGCCTAAGGGCCATACTGAATTGTTGGGTTGTCCCAAGCATGGAGCACAACCCCAACATCATGGCGTTCTTGAACTCAGTCCCACGATCGGACCGAACGAGCCGAGGCAAGGTCCGGGACCTGAGCACACATCGCAAGAACGCCCTGCGGACGTCAGTGCGCGTCAGGCTCTTCATCGGCTCCAACAGCACCGCATGACTGGGACAGTCGAAATGGGTGATGCTATGCCGGTAGCCGTCTCGGTCCTCCCGGTTCGGGCCTTCACAATCCACAGAGACCTCTTGCCAGCAGGCCTCTGCAAGGCACTTCACCGGCTTAGCCTCGACCTTGGTCGCCCTGGCTCTTCCTTTGATGCAGGCAAGGCACTTCGAGACCCAGAGCTTCACGTCTGACTCCATGCCTGGCCACCAGACCGCGCGTTCCAGCAGCCGGTAGGTGTCATATAACACGACTTCCTCCACGTAACGCCATTGGGCCCAGCTATCCCATTCGGGACCACAGGAACTACCACCGTCTGGCCCGTCTTGATGGTCACCTCCCTTTCCAAGACTCCGTCGGAACCGAGCTTGAAAGGGGACTCAGGCTTCTTGACAGAAGACGCCAGAGACGGGTCTCTGCGTTGAGCCTCGTGCCAAGCCGTGCGAAGAGCCGGAGTTACTCCGAATTCGCACACTCCATCCCTGGCCGCCAACGCAAGCTCTGCCCTGCGAACCACCGGGTCGTCCCTATTCAGCAATACCGGCAACGAACCGAGGCTGAGGGGGGAAACGGCCTGTCGTAGAAACTTTCACCCGGCGACGCAGAATGGTCTGTGCGAAAATTACAGCTCCACGACCACACGAGGAAGCTTGGTAACGGACCCGAAGAAGGCTAAAGTTCTGCTAAGCTCCCCTTCCTTGACCTCTATCTTCCTCGAGAGCGGGATAGCCGTCCAGTGGCCTTCTTGGCCGAGGCACTGAAAGGCGGCAATGACGGGGGACACTGCCCCAGCGACTGAATCCCATCCCCATCGTTCCATCGCATTCGGAGTTAACCACGTGCCTATGACTGTGCCAATTGGGCTCAGCCGCCCAACTTAGCGCACTCGAGCCGCTAAGGCACGACGGGGTCGTTTCGTCGTCGTCGTCGGATCGTCGTCGTCGCATTGTCGTCACCGTGGCCGTCGTCCTGCTCGTCTTACCTGAGCGGTGAGCGATTCCTACTTTAAGTTGTCACGCAGGCTTGACTTGAGGGGGCAGTCTTCCGAGTTTTGTCTTGCGTAGGATTTCTGCGGTTCGTAGCCTATAGACTCTTTAACGAAGACTTCAGGCATCGTCAGTTTTCCGAGGTTCGAGTTGCAGGGGGGACCATCATAACACAAGCCCTTGAGGCCCCAGCTCTGTGAACCTTGAGGCCACGTAGTCGACCTACTCGTCTTCAAGTAAATAATAAACGCCCTGCATTATTTATCTATTTTCAAATGTATTTATATATAACTATGTGCCCATGCGCATTCCAAGCTAATTTCTTTCTCCAGTTACAGCCTGAAGCTGAGACCCCAAACCCAAATAGGCAAAGCCAGCCTGCATGCACTCAGGTGCAATGAACCCAGATCACTTCAAGATTTAGGGCTTTCGGGTTTGGGATGTTTGGGTCTTCGGCTTTTGATCCTCTTTGATCTAAGAAAAGGTGCAGGAGTATAGAAGGGGAGTCCCACTGCAGAGCTGTGTTGCTCGAAGATTGTGGGTTGCATGTACAATGCAGAATATAGATATATAAGTTAGTTGCGGGTTTAGGATTTATAAGTTAGAAGGTGACCCCACCCTGTAATAGTGGTATAATAGGACTATAATAGGGCCCTACTATATAATCCTTATAGTCACTATTACAGGGTGGGGGCAGCTTCTAATTTATAAGGTTGGGTATTCGGAACTTTCGGGGATCGAACCCCCTTCCACAAAATCGAACTAAAGCCCTATACTCGCACAACCCGAACTTGGAAACCGCACGAACTCCCAAACTCTCAAGGCTCTGCTGTGAGCGCGATCATGGTCTGCATGCTCCAAGCCTGTTTGCAAGGAGGCTTTAGGGTCCATACGTATTCATGAAGCACTTCGCAGCAGTATACTCAAGTAAGCAAATGTCTCTGTTCATACATCTACGATTGCAGTGCTCCGCATAATTAAGCATGCACAGCATGCACATGCAACTTACATGCTGCCGGTGTGTCACGTGGAAAAGGCTGGGTGACCTGCAGCTCTGCATGCTGTCTGCTATCACAAGTGAGCACAGGATTGCATCGTTCGGATACCTCGGGACTCGCAGGCATTTTGCTTTACTCAGTCTAGCTTTTGTTTTGCGACCTGTGTGCCGTAGCTCAGCATGCCGTGACAAGCAGATGATCGCGACCTGTCCTTCACACACCTGTACTCTAACTTGCTGGGAGACAGCAAGTTCGAAATCGAGGAAATCAAGAGGACGTTTCGCTCTGTGCGTGCCATGTCTGCATTCCTGTGTGAGCACGTGTGCGGGTGGACTTCCGTGAAGTCGTATCTCATGCAAGCTGGGGGCCCGGTAAGGTTTCCTGGGGTTTTGAAGAAGTCGTACCTGGCTTGCAATTTTATCTTACACGCACGCATGCTGCCAAGCTTCTTACATTTAGGTGTTGGGTATCTACCAAGGAAAGGGTGGCGCAGGGTATGTTCGACGAGATGCCCGAGCGAGCTGTAGATCTGATCCAGGATAAGACGCTGAAACCCGGCACCAGGCTCGTCAAACTGTCGTCTGACATCAGCAAGCCGACTGCGCAGGACGGGTCCTAAATTCAGTACGTTAGATTTGTGGGCCTTTGTATACTCACACTCTTGTGCGAAGGAAGTCTCGGCCAACTACGTTTGGCTCCGTCCTATCTGCATGGAGTACCCGAGAAAGGTGTCCTGTCTTTGATTCTAGTCCTACTGGGATTGGAACGCATGTGTGGAGCAAGTATTGAAAAATAAGGTGCCTTCGGCTTTCTTCTTACAGACGTACTCTTGCACTTGGACCGCCTCTTCAAGAAGAAGCTCATCATCCCCGGCGACGGGGATACCAAAGTAGTGGCAGCGGCGCGGGACGCCAAGCGCCTGAAGAGGCTTATGGGTGCGCTGAGGGGCTTGTACCGTAATTGCACCTTGTCTTTCTTAACGAAGCATGAATGATGTGTGCTGTCGTTGTCGTGCGCTATGATTTCTTGTCGTGTTAGGCAAGACGTCTACGGATCCGAAAATCCAAGAGTTGAAGAACTTCTTGCTGCCTGCAAACGAGGAGGCCTGCTGATTCTAATGTTCACGGCAGATCAAAACCCCTGTGAAGCCTTAGCCGTAGCCTAAAACCCTAAAGCCCTTTGCAGACAGGTTATATGCAGCTTAACACTATATAAACCGCCAAACCTAAATCTGTAGAAACCCTATACACGGAGTCCGTAAACCTCATAAGTTCTCCACGTGCAAGATAACGTTGGCATGTCGAGTAATGCTCTTTGATACATAATCAAACTAATATGTTTAATCATCCACAAAGGGTTTCTCAGTAGTTGCACATTGCAGGATGATGAGGACAGCGACGACGCTGCCGTCGATGGCGGAGAGGAGGAAGAGGAGGCGGAGACCTCTGACGCCTGCGATTCAGAAGGTGGAGAGGCGGCTTCGGATGCCCGCCCGAGAAGTTTGAATGCGAGCAGCAGTGATGCCACCGAGCCTTACAACGAGATTTCGAGATCTTTGGAGGCTGAGCTTCGCGAGGGCAGCGAGGCACCCATCGCTGAGGAACAGGTTTCGAGATCCTTGAAGCCTACGACGACTAACAGCAGCGAGGGCAGTGAGCCACCCAGCCACACGGCCGAGGTTTCGAGATCGTTGAAGCTTACGACGACCGACACCAGCGAGAGCAGCGAGCCACCCAACGCCACGACCGAGGTTTCCAGATCCTTGAAGATTGCGACGACCGACACCAGCGAGGGCAGCGAGCTACCCAGCACCACGGCCGAGGCTTCCAGATCCTTGAAGATGGCGACGACCGACAGCAGCGAGGGCAGCGAGCCACCCAGCGCCGTGGCCGAGGTTTCGAGATCCTTGAAGATTGTGGCGACCGACACCAGCGAGGGCAGCGAGCCACCACAGGCTGAGGATAGCAGCAAGCCCCCCATGAACAGATCCTTGGAAGATGAATTGGACGGGGCTGCCGGCAGTGGCGAGGACTTTGACTACAATCCTTCGGAGCCTGACAGCTATGATCTGGAGGAGATGATGAGCGACACCGATTCCAATGCCAGCACCTTGCAACTTGGTCAGACCCGTGCCATGAAGCCTGCAGGTAAGGCAACGATGAAGACACCTCCTTGCAAGGGTCGGGCCTGGATGAAGAGTGGCGAGATGTCGGTCACGCCATCCCCAGTTCCGATGCAGACTGCCAAAGGCTTTCTCGGATAGGTGTGCCGTATTTCTG